TCCAGTGGCCCCGATTTATATTTCGAAATCTTACTTAATATAAAACGCAGATTGTGTGTGTGTGTGTGTCTGTACGTTTATATATTGGATCGGATTTCCTACATTTTTCAACCGATTTCAACAAAACTTCACAGGACTGCGTAAAATTACCTTGCGGTGGTTCTGACAGCGCCAAAAATTGGAAAAACACATTTGTTTTTGCACGAAATCAATTTGAAAACACTTAAAAACGATTCTGTCGCCAGAATGAAAGGGGGACAACTCATATCGAGTTATACTTATTATAAAACCCAGGTTGTTTGTGTGTGTGTGTTCGTTTATATATGGGATCGGATTTCCTACATTTTTCAACCGATTTCAACAAAACTTCACTTTTGTTTTTGGCAGGTAGTGCTTCTTATTGTCTTGCACACTTTTTTCTTTATTTTTACATTCAGAATGCTTTAAAAATTCCATTTACAAGACAATTGTTTATAATTAAATTCTATTCAATCAATAGAGTCATAACGATTGAAAGCAATGTTTTTGTTTGAGTTTGGGTTTGACCAGTTCGTTAAAAAACCCCAAAAACAAAAAAATCTAATTAAGACATGTGTGTCCGTCAACCTTAAACAATAATCTTTGTCAATTTTATTTTTCAGTCTATATGATGGTCGATACTTGATCTATCTCTTAGTGTTACATCCCCGGGCAACGCCGGGCTCTACTGCTAATTCTTGATAAAATATAAATAAGAATCGGAAATATTATTTCTCCTGATTTGGCGTCTTGGCTTCAGTCACTTTTCCGCCTCCATAAAGTGGCTTCCTTTTTCTATAAATAATTTCATAGTAATTGTTCGAATGAGTTCTTTGCTATGGTACCTTGACTTTATGGATTTAAGCACAGTCGTAGATTAACAACAAAGTCTCATAACTTTACAGTGGAATTGGCTAGATATAACTGTAAGTTCGATGTTAACAGTTTATTTTCTTGCGCTTCTCTATGCTTTGCGTCCAGGTTTGATCTTCAAAAATTGAAATACAATGTTAATCTACTGTATTTACTGCCTTGTACAGGGTGAATTTGATAAAAAATGAAGCATCATAAGCGCTAAAAACTTCATTAAGAAACAGGAAAATTTCGTTAGATATAAAAATAGGCGGGTCTTTGTATTTGACTAATCAAAATTTCGTTTTGTTTATTAAGTAAAATTAATTAAAAATATATTTAATTAATATTTTTGGTTAAGGTTATTGATGTGGGGCCAAAATCGGGACCACAGAAGGAAAACACGGCACACAGATTAGAGATAAGAAAGATATATTACACAAAAAGGTTACAAAGATAGTGTAAGTGTAAGCGGAGCTTACTATGTGCTAGTGTCCAATATTGGTAGTCGTACGCGGCTAATACTACGGTATTAGAATACTCTCCTCCTCTTCTCTCTCTAGAGTGTTATGTCGCATACTTTATATAGTCCTGGAAGAGTCCATGTTGTAGATATGTTACGGTCTCACAATAGTTATTTAGCTACATATATGTTCAAGAAAGGTAAAGGTAAATAAAGATTCTATTTGTCTGCTTCCCTGAGAAATAGAATCTTCAGAAAATTTAAATGCAACATCAATCGCCACCTATTGTATTTTTGATCACCGTTCATCTTTTGTCCTTTCTTCAATCCTCGCTATTCCCTGTCTTCTCCTTCAATTTTATTCCCAGCAACCTCCAGCGTACTAGTGGCATTCCCGCCTTAGTTGGGGTGAAATGACAAAACAAAACAAAAACACGTTAGTGGCAATGGTGTCTTTATCTAGCTAATGTCTCACCATTATGTGGTAGGTATATCTACGATTTATATGTTGGAGGTATTTCCGTCGCACCCAGTATATTGGGATTCACAAAAAAAAAAAACCAAAAAAAAAACAAAAAAACCACGAAATATCGACCAGGGCATTATTGGAAATAAACGTTTTTAATGCATGCAATCTTTGTAATTATAACATACCAGAATATTTTGGCATCACGTTTACACCTGTTGAAATCCTTACATCATTTATTATTTTTGAAGTTATCGCTAACATTTATGTCCAGATTTACAAACTCTACATTTCTTTCAATTTCACAAACCAATCGATTAAATTTGAATAAGCTGGTTATTTTGGTAAAAGTCTTTGACAAAAAACCAACTTCGCGGTTTAATAGTTTCTTTAATTTTATAGAACTTCATGGTAAACAATATTTTCTTAACAAAATTTCTTTTTTTCATTTTTAAGAGCGAATAATAAATTCTTAGTGTTTCTTACTCTTGTGCATACAGCATACAACTGGCCGTGCGTAAATATTTCTTTCTGGGGCCAAATTCCAATTTTTTCATGCGTTTGGCCTTGGGATTTGATTACAGTTTCCGCAAACACAGGGTTAACTAGATTCCTGTATATATAAATACTTAAGGAAAAAATATCCAAAAAAAACAATATTGCATTTTTATTATTTAAGTATTTGTTATTTTAACCATTTTTGTTTTTAAAATAGTGGGAGTATTTTGTATGTTAAATAATAAATTTTTCCCCCATAAAATAATGAAAACTTATTGTACTAATAAAACTTCTTCTACTAATAAAACCAACTGTACCCTCTTACCTGTTTGCACTTTTCCCCAAAATTCGGTTTCGATCGGTCAATCTATGGCTATTTTAGAGGATGTGGTGGATGAACAGACTAACGGAAGTCACATAATTTTATATATATATATACAGTGTAACCCGGATATAAGAGACCCGGATGTAAGGGAAACCCGGATATAAGAGAGATTTTCTCTGGTCCCACATTAGAGCCTGTGTTAATGTATATAAAATAGACCAAACCCGGATATAAGAGACTTCTTCTCCGGTCGCGACAACTCTCTTATATCCGGGTTACCCTGTATATTGATTTAATAACGAGAATTGCGGCGTCGATAATCACAAATAAAATTAAATATCCAGTTATCGTATCGCTATACTTGAATTCACGGAAGTTACATCCACTGATCAGGTGACGTGAATGAATAATTTTACAATAACGTCTCCTGAAGAGTAGATTCAATCTTAACGAAAGCCTCTGAGTACTAATAGCATTCCCGCCTTTTTTTGTTTTTGAGGTGAAATGATTAAAAAGAGAAAATTACTTCTAAACATTTGTCAGTTAAAACACATCTCAGTCGCTTCAAGTAGCGTCATCTCAGAAGAGAATGTTCAGGTTTTACTGTCATATAGTCGATTAAATTTTCCATTATAATTCAGTATTCTTTTCTTATAATCTAACTAAATTTTCCAATCTCTTAACACTTTCTTTACTTTCTGAAAGGTATCTTTCGCTTTTCTTTGTTTATAAAGACATTTTCCTATCTCAGTATTTTGCTTAGTTTGTGAAAGGCATCTTTCTCTATTCCAATGTGTCTTCGGATTTCTCGTTCGTATTATTCGTCTACATAGTTTTTTTTTTTTTTTTTTAAGCATTTCACCCCAAGCAAGGCGGGAAGCCACTAGGACGCAAGGGGTTACAGAAAATAGGAAGATCAGATAGGAGTGATAAAAGATAGGATGAGGGTAGTAGATAGATTAGGGCAACTGGAGATGTCGATTGACATTACACTTGAATAGCTGGAGATTATAACTCACAGGGAAACAGGAGAAGGGAAGAGAGTTCCACAGGCGAGAGGTGCGAGACATGAAGCTATTAGAGTAGAAGAGACGGCTACATTTAGGAGTTTCGACAGTGAAGGGGTGAGAGCAGGATGCCAGCCTCGTAGGGCGCTTGAACTCATGAAGTCTGGGAACCAGCGAATGCAGCTCCTCGGAGCAATTTCCTGGGAAGTATTTGTAGAACAGACAGAGGGAGGCGACGGTGCGTCTGTGAGAAAGTGACTGTAGACGAGACGCCAGAGCAGGGCCAACCATATTGCATATCCGCTTCTGGAGCCTATCAAGAACCCCGAGGCAAACAGAAGGGGCGCCAGACCATATATGGCAGCAATACTCCATGCAAGGGCGAATTGTGGGTTTGTAGATCTGGAGGATCGACTCAGGGGAGAAAAACTTCCTAGCGCGGCTCAGGGAGCCAACTTTCCACGCAGTGGACGAGGCAATTGACTCGATGTATTTATTCCATCTCAGGTCAGCAGTCAACGTGAGACCGAGAAGTTAATTAAATTTCTATCGTTGCTTGCTGTTGATCTCCTAGGGTGGATCTCACAACTTGGGCTGTTTTGCTAACAATCTATCTTATCACAAATCCTTTTCTGTCATAACTAAAAGCTAATGCTGTATTAGCTATGGTTACCTCCTAAACTGTTATGCCACGGCCGTCAACAGCTCGATTTAGATATCAAGTTAAAGTTAGGTTAGTATGACACAAGGCAACAAAATTCGGGTACTCGAGCAGGATTGAGTTAACTGCATTAGTGACGGTAACCTTAGCAACCATTAAGCTGCGGATAGTAAACATTTGAATATACGCTGAACAAATCGTTGGTACAGGGTTCTAAAGTACATGGCATTTAGTAAGGTTCGAATTTATTGCTCTACTGCAGGCGGTCTACATTTTTCCCGTATGTGAGTTCGACAGAAAGGTTTTTCAAGTCTAGTTTCTTATTCTTATATCTTTAAGAGATAGAAATTTCCCGAAAGGGACAAATAATTGGAGGTTCTTCCACTGTGTCGTTTTAAGCAAAGTTCCCCTAAATATTGATTCTAACAGCGGTTTTAAAAATAATGTGTTAGCTTGAAACTGCATATTTTGTTAAGTTTTTATCTTTCAACTGTGGAAGCTGTTGTTGCTTTTGGGAATGCCTATTTAGAAGGTGGGTAATTAATTTGCTTTGAAAAAAAAATCGGTCCGTATAGAAAAGAAAAAAAGAAAGAAAAGAAAAAAGGCTTCCATTAGACACTAGGGAAGAACACTCACACTATTTCCCTAGGTTCAAGAAGAGGTCAGTTTTGTTAAGTATCTTTTTTCTTGCTTTCTTTATTTGCCTTTACATGCTTTTCATTTCTCTATCCTTTTCTTATTTTCTTCTTTTCCCTTTTCATTTTAATTTTCTTTCTTTCTTTATCGTTACATACATTTTCTTTCCCTTTTCACTTTCTTTCTTTCTTTCTTTCTTTCTTTCTTTCTTTCTTCCTTTCTTTCTTTCTTTCTTTGGCTTTACCCTTTTCTCTCACTTTTCACTTTTCTTTTCTTTCTTTCTTTCTTTCGCTTTACCCTTTTCTCTTTCTTTCTTTCTTTCTTTCTTTCTTTCTTTCGCTTTACCCTTTTCTCTCACTTTTCACTTTTCTTTTCTTTTCTTTCTTTCTTTCTTTCTTTCTTTCTTTCTTTCTTTCTTTCTTTCTTTCTTTCTTTCGCTTTACCCTTTTCTCTTTCTTTCTTTCTTTCTTTCTTTCTTTCTTTGGCTTTACCATTTTCTTTCACTTTTCACTTTTCTTTTCTTTCTTTCTTTCTTTCTTTCTTTCTTTCTTTCTTTCTTTCTTTCTTTCTTTGGCTTTATCCTTTTCTCTCACTTTTCACTTTTATTTTCTTTCTTTGGCTTTATCCTTTTCTCTCACTTTCCTCACTTTCATTTTCTTTCTTTCTTTCTTTCTTTCTTTCTTTCTTTCTTTCTTTCTTTCTTTCTTTCTTCCATTCTTTCTTTCTTTCTTTCTTTCTTTCTTTGGCTTTACCATTTTCTCTTTCTTTCTTTAGCTTTACCATTTTCTCTCACTTTTATTTTCTTTCTTTCTTTCTTTCTTTCTTTCTTTCTTTCTTTCTTTCTTTCTTTCTTTCGCTTTACCCTTTTCTCTTTCTTTCTTTCTTTCTTTCTTTCTTTAGCTTTACCATTTTCTCTCACTTTTCACTTTTATTTTCTTTCTTTCTTTCTTTCTTTGCCTTTACCTTATTCTTTGCCTTTTCACTTTCTTTCTTTCTTTTCCTTTCTTATTTTCTTCTTTCCGTTTTCACTTTTTCTTTCTTTCTTTCTTTCTTTCTTTCTTTCTTTCTTTCTTTCTTTCTACTTATGTATGGAAATGTATCTTCATTATTGAACTTGAGCTCATCCTAAATCCTTGAAATTACTTTCTGTATATTTGTCTTTAGGAACGTTTTTATTTGCTTTATAATGTCTGAATGAATAAACAAAAAATTTTAATTATTTGGTGTTAATCCTGGAAAACATGGCGGATGAGTTGAAGCTTCGAAATCCAGCGTACGTCCCTTTGACTGGCTAATTTATGATACGTTTAGCCAAGAATTATCACCGATCCTTAGTGGTCGCCGATTGACAAACTTACACCATTTATATGTGCACCGCTTCCAATGATTGATATGAAGCGTCAACTGTGATATTTTCTCCTTATGAGAGAAAACAATCTCATGATAAGATTTATTGATGCAAAACTGATATCTGATAATTCTTTGGCGCTTCATTATGAGCTATTGTATCACGGATTAAGAAATCAGAGAGCTGAGTTCGAATTCCAATCAGATCCATTACATTCATTTGGGAAAGGTATGAGTCCTCTTCTTCTCCCCCCGCCAACTATGTGCAAATAGCAGGACAGAAGGAGTTTTATAGCCTTGGATGCCAACTGATCTACCGCAGAAAGAAATGGCCACCTACTACTAGAAAAAACCTCGTCAGTCATGTATCGAAAGATACATGATCTCCTAAGCGTGCATCACGCATGGCGCATAACTGACTGACTGATTTTCCATGATCTATTAAAATACTTCACAGATATTTAAACTTCTGTACTTGTTTAATGTTGACATCTCCAATACTTAGTAGCCATCTTGGGCTTTTCTTCTTGCTGACAAACATATTTTCTGTCTTCTTACAGTTGATGGCTAGTTTGAATTCCAGTCAAATCTATTACATTCACTTATGCACTAATACCTTTGGGAAAGGTATGAATTCTCTTCTTCTCCCCCCAGCTATGGGTAAATAGCAGGACAGACCGAGTTCTATAGTCTTGGATGGAAACTGTTCTACCGCAGAAAGAAATGGAAACCTACTACGAGAAAAATCTGCCTCGTCAGTCATGTATCTTTCGATACATGATCGCCTAAGCGGGTATCACGCATGACACATAACTGATTAACTGATATGCCAATACCCTTGGGAAAGGTATGTATTCTCTTCTTCTCTCCCGACTATGGGTAAATAGCAGAGCAGACCGGGTTCTATAGCCTTGGATGGCAACTGGTCGTCAGTCATGTAAATGTATGTATGCGTAAGTGTGAAGGACCGAAAGTGCGTGCGTGCGTACGTTCGTGTGAAGTGGCAGAGTTGATCACAAGATTAATGCCAGAGAAAATTGAATCGGCAATCCTTGTTCAATTTCCGCTTGAGCTGTGTTCCCGTCACAAAATATCGTACAGAAATTTAAATATCTGCAGAAAGAAATGGCAACCTACTACGGGAAAAATCTGCCTCGTCAGTCATGTATCGAAAGATACATGATCGCCTAAGCGTGTATCACGCATGGCACAGAACTGATTGACTGATGTACTAATACCCTTGGGAAATGTATGAATTCTCCTCTTCTCTCCCGGCTATGGGTAAATAGCAGGACAGACCGGGTTCTATACCCTTGGATGGCAACTAGTCTACTGCAGTAAGTAATGGCAACCTACTGCGGGAAAAATCTGCCTCGTCAGTCATATATCGAAAGATAAGTGATCTCCTAAGCGTGTATCACGCATGGCGCATGACTGGTTGTATTCCACTTCCTTTGTTCGTAAAGAAGCCACTTTTCACGCTAGGTCATTATTCGATCAAGATCTGAATCATTTTTGTTTTACATCTTCAAAACCCGATTTCAAAACGGCAATAATTTTTTCTCTAATTCTTATTTAATTTAGGTAGCGTCCATCTGTCATGTTGCTTTACTTTTCCAATTAACGGAAAATGTTCTGAAATTGTTGAAATTGATAGCTTCTATTTCGGGACCATTTCTCTAAAGAGCAATGATTCACTCCCATTAATTCTTTTAATTAATCATTTGAAACTGTGGTAGGATGTTTTATTCCCTCTTCATCTCTGAACTCTACGTCTCTATTTCAGAACTTTATTATCCTCCGCACGATGGTTAATTAATGTTAAATTAATAGTCTGAGATAAATTGTGACCAAATTTAAACGTATGCAAGTCACTGATACGTATATTTTTTGTTTTAATTATTAGTACAGGATCATTAAACATGTAAATACGTAACTATGAAAGAAGTCATCAAGATATCGTTAAAACAATAATTAAACTTATAAAAGACACAGATATTTTAGATGTATGGCGAAGTCTATAACGTGGAATAATGAAATCGGTTACCGTTTTCTCAACAATTTATTAGCAAGAAATACTACAATTTCCTCTTGAGGGAGGGGATTGTTTTCTGTTACTAATTTAACTTGCATACGCAAAATGATAAGACTGTAATCATTTGCTGATAAAAGTATTTCACCCAAGGGCATTGTTGTGACGGGAACACAGTTCAAGCGGAAATTGAACAAGGATTGCCGATTCAATTTTCTCTGGCATTAATCTTGTGATCAACTCTGCCACTTCACACGAACGTACGCACGCACTTTCGGTCTCTCACACTTACGCATACATACATTTACTTACTCTCTCTCTCTCTCACACTCTCTCTCACACACACACACACACTATATATATATATATATATATATATATATATATATATATATATATGGTATCAAATGACAATTGGAAAAAAATCATACATTTTGCCGACGCGTTTCGTCTTCCGACTTTCAAGGCAAAAATGAAATCGAAATGTTTTTGCTGTTATAGTTACATTAAAATTCAAAATTAAAAGATAGACGCTTGTGTCTAAGCCTTTTTTCCGTTTTTTTTTTTTTATAATAATAATAATAATCCCTTACTATAAAGGTAATTTACATTAACCAGAAAAAAGGCTTAGACACAAGCGTCTATCTTTTTAATTTTTAATTTTAATGTAACTATAACAGCAAAAACATTTCGATTTCATTTTTGCCTTCTTTTTCCCTTTGGTATTGGTTTGATTATTTGCAAATGGAGGCACCGAAGGTTTTCCGGACGAGTATAATTTCTTATACTTATAAGATTATTACTAGTATATATATATATATATATATATATATATATATATATATATATATATATATATATATATATATATATATATATATAGCATCATTGACCAACTTAAACAAGAAGGCCGTTCAGAAGAGTTGCAGGAGAATCCGAAATCGTCTTGCGGCTGTGCTTGAAGCCAATGGCGATTTTATTGAATAAATTTACTCGTTAGTTATTCAAGATAACTCAAGTGTAATTTTGATAAATATATCCTTAAAAATGAGATGTTATTCTCATTTTCGCGTAATTAAGACGACAATTTATTAATCGAAACCAGTGTATATAGGCCATTTCACAAACATGTAGTCAGAAATAAAGGGGAATAGACTCAAAATCCAGCACTTCATTAAAAATTATTTTTTCGCTTCGGATACTAAAATAGAGTGAGTAGATATGGTGTAGAAGTAGGTTGACACGAGAAAAAATTACTTAAAAAAATAAGTGTATCTTGTTGGGAATTATAGCTTTCTATATGTTAGCGTTCGGATGAGACGGTGTGAAATATATATATATATATATATAGTCTATTTTTTTTTAAGCGTTTCACCCCAAGCAAGGCGAGAAGCCACTAGGACGCAAGGGGTTACAGAAGATTTGGAGCAAGATCAGATAGGAGTGATAGAGGAAAGGATGAGGAGAAGGGTAGTGGATAGATCAAGGCAACTGGAGATGTCGATTGACATTACATTTGAATAGCTGGGGATTATAGCTCTCAGGGAAACTGGAATAGGGAAGGGAGTTCCACAGGCGAGAGGTGCGAGACATGAAGCTATTAGTAGAAGAGACGACTACATTTAGGAGTTTCGACAGTGAAGGGGTGAGAGCAGGATGCCAGCCTCGTAGTGCGCTTGAACTCATGAAGTCTGGGAACCAGCGAATGCAGCTCCTCGGAGCAATTACCATGAAAGTATTTGTAAAACAGACAGAAGAGAGGCGACGGCGCGTCTGTGAGAGAGCGACTGTAGACGAGATGCCAGATCAGGGCCAGTTATATTGCATATCCGCCTCTGGAGCCTATGAAGAACCTCGAGGCAAACAGAAGGGGCTCCAGACCATATATGGCAGCAATACTCCATGCAAGGGCGAATTGTTGATTTGTAGATCTGGAGGATTGATTCCGGGGAGAAAAATTTCCTGGCGCGGCTCAGGGAGCCAACTTTCCTTGCGGTGGACGAAGCAATTGACTCAATGAATTTGTTCCATCTCAGGTCAGCAGTCAACGTGAGACCGAGCAGCCTCGAGAAGTTGAGCGTCAGACATTCTAATGGAGGGCAGGGAAGGATCTCTGTGGTGATTAATAGAGAGCAGTTTTGTTTTTGAGGCATTAAATTTGACCAGCCAATTCCTGCCCCAGTTCACTACCGATTGGAGGTCCTTTTCGAGACGCACGGACAGGTTACAGATCATTATTTAAACATATATTATTAAATATAACAGACAATGAATGTCTATTTTGTCTGATCATGAGCCGTTCCAATGTTTGCTAGAATTTCTGGTGAAAATAAAGACAAAAATTTCTTCACATAGTCACATAGCAATTTTCTATATCAAAATAACAAAATGACATATTTGACGGTGACTAACATAATAAAAAAGTATCCAAATATTGTAGATATTTTTTGTCGTTATTTTCACCAGAAATTAAAGCAAACATTCGAGCATGAGAATGGCTCATGATCAGACATAATAGATATTCATTGCCTGTTATATTTAATAATAATAATAATAATAATAATAATAATATATATATATATATATATATATATATATATATATATATATATATTAAAGACATTTTTATATTTAACATTCTTTTTATAGATACAAGTATTTAAATAAATGCTCTGTTTATAATAAACAGTATTAAATACTTGTATCTATAAAAGAATGTTAAACATAAAAATG